GGTGCTGCTCTGCTGGGTCTGAGCCCCCCCCGCCGCTGGCGAGCCCTGTGCCAGGTAGGGGGGCTTGGCCTGTTTCTTCCGTGAGGCCAGCATGACGCTGTCTGCTCAGGGCGTGCTTGTCACCCCTATCGAGAGGAGCGTTAGGGGCCGCCCAGCATCTGGCCCTGGGGAAGTGCCTGGAAAGGATGGGGCCGCCCTGGCTCCTCCCGAGGACAAGGAGAGCCGTGTGGCCAGTAGCAGGGTCCCTGGGTGGACAGCCTCTTCGTGGCTTCCTCTCTCCCCTGGCTCACTTCTGTTCCCGGCTGTGGCCACAGGCTGGTGGGATGCTCGACTCCGGTTGTGGTCTGAAGGGATGCGAGCCCCACCTCGGATTGGTCCTCAGGCCCGCAGAGTGGGCGTGTTGGTTCAGGCCCAGGCTCAGCCAGAGGACTGGGACCCACCAGCTGCCCTGAAGCAGGGTCGCCCAGGATGTGCACAGGGAACAGGAGGCTGGCCAGTCATCCCCAAAGATCCCTGCCTTGGGGGTGGTCCTTTCCTGAGTGAGGTGCCATGTGTGAAAGTGCCCTGTATGCCACAGGCCCCGCCTGGCCTCCCAGGTCCCGCGGGAGGGAGGCAGGAAGGCCGACTGGCGGGTGGTGGCATTCTACGATGAAGGGGTGGGTTCCTGAAACAGAAGGGAGAAGGCCACAGCTCATCCTCTCCTCGCTCCTTCCGGCTGACTCGGCTTTCGTCGCAGTGAGCGGTCCTGGGCAGCAGGCCTCACGGAGGAAGTGGGGTCACCTTCCACCGCAGAGTGGCTCCGTTCAGCTGCCCAGTCCTGGGACAGCCCTGAGGACGGTCACCCACTGTGATGCTGTGCCCACACGGGTGGGTGCTCGGTGAGCGCTAATGATCAGCACCCCCCAGCAGACTGGATGGGCAGACTGCCCTGCTTACCTCCGTATCCCCAACACAGACCGTGCTCGGTAAGCGTACGGCCAACCGATGATTAAGACACTGTCCCTCCAGGGCCCTCCATCCAGAGGAGGGGACGGGCATGCAACCAACAGTCAGAACTACTGGAGGGTGTCTAAAGGGGGCGGGGGGCTGTGTGAGTCAGAGCTCAGTAACTTTGTTTTTTGGAGAGGTTTTTGCTATAGGGCGCATGCGCTTGCCAGAAAGACAGAGACAGAGACAGCGAGAAATCACTCCCCGGGGGGATGGCAATGCTGCAATCCCTTCTCCATTCTCCTCTCGGGATCTTGGGCATGCACGCACACGCGCCCAGCATGAGTTTAAGCCACCGGGTCTGGGACTCGAACTGCGGTCGGCTACATGGAAGTTCATCGACATAGCCATTACGCCAACTGCTGGTCCCAGAGCTCAATAACTTGAGAAATATCAGCTGTGCCCTAGGGCCAGCCTGGGGAAGGCATCCTCTGTGAGCCTAGCGCCCTCTTCCCTTTTGTCCCAGTGCACGCGCTTGCGGGCCACTCTTCCTCCCTGGTGTCCCACATGCTCCCGTGCTCCCCGCGGCGACTGTCAGCATGCTGTGCTGCGGCCTGGCCTGCGAGTGCTGCAGGTGGATCCTGCCCCTGCTCCTGCTCAGCGCATCGCCTTCGACGTCATCACGCTGGCCAACCGCGGCTGGCTGCAGCGCAGTGACCACATCCAGAAGGCAGTGGCAGCAGGTCCTACGAGGATGGCTGTCGGAGCCTCATGAAGTACGCCTGGGGAAGAGCAGTGGCCACCATGCCCTTCTGTGGCTTTATCATCCTGGTAATCGGCTTCACCCTGTCCTCCTGTGCCTTCTGTGGACCCCCATGCTTGTTTTCCTAAGAGTGATTGGAGGCCTCCTTGCTCTGGCTGCTGGGCTCCAGATCACCTCCCTGGTCACTCAGACCTTCGACCTGCATGCCAACCCTGCGTCACGCACATCTGTAACTGGGCTTAAGGCTTCGGGTGGGGGCCAGGACCATCCTGACTGGCTGTGCCTTTTCCTTTTGCTGCCTCCCTATCCGTGAGGAGACCCTCCTGGGGGATGCCAAGCCCAGGCACTGCCACACATTGCCTAACAGGCAGTGAGCCGGGGAGGTCACCGCTGTCGAGAGGGATTCCAGAGGAAGAAACTACATTCGGACTACTTGGAACCGATTTTTTTGGGCAGTGTTCATGTTATTAAGCTAGTCAAAATTGTTAAAATAATTTGGGAGAAAATATTTCTTAAATAGTGGTATAGTTTCACATTCATCTTGTATACGAGTTGTGTAATTAAACAAGACTTGTTTCTTTTCACTAATGACGTGTAACCTGCCAGCACGTCCTTATATTGTCTATGACATGAATACTACATTGATAAAGAATATGGATATGAAACGTACCACCTGGGGAGGTAAAAATGAGGCAGCTTCCAAGGTTTACTATTCTGGTTAGGTTTGGTTTTTTCTCGATAGAATGGATGAGTTCTATTAAAGTCTAAGGAGAAGGGGAGATACTGGTAAAAATTGTCAGTGACCAAGATTTTTTTGTTTGTTTTAATATATAATTTAATTT